AGGCAGAGCTTCTCGGCTGTTTCTTGGCATTTGAGGAAACGACTGCCGACTTCTACCACGGTCCAGTCTATCCAAACAAATCAAACTCCATCTCTTCTTCCTCCTCTTCCTCGACAACCTTCTTCTCCTCCTTCTTCTCTGCAGGTGCTGCACCACCACCACCTCCACCACCGCCGCCTGCGGCGACACCGCCGCCTCCGCCACCACCTCCACCAAACTTCAGCATGCTTTCCAAATCTTTGCCCGCACAAAGCTTCGCAAAAAGCGCAGGGAAGAAGGAGCTGGTGGAGCCACCGGCAGCCTTGATGAGAGTGTTGATGTTATCTTCGGAGATGTCCAGCTCACTGTCCTTCAGGATCATGGCAGCATAAGTGCAAAAGAGCTCTTCTTTCTCCGCCTGAGGTACCTCGTCTGCTGGCACCTCCGCCATGGGAATAGCCGACTCTATGCCAAACAGCTCTGCGACACCGCTTGAACCCAGGCCAACAATCAAGCAAACTGCGGAGCACCTCAACAAAAAATCGACTCCGCACCAGACTGTTCCTTGAAGACTGCATGGATTTGACAGCACAGGAAATTCAATATGTACAAGTTGGACCAGGGGCCCCCCACTGACCACTGGGCGCACTCGGAAAGCCTCTGAAGACTTCAAGCAGAACAACCACACTAAGTAGAGTTGTGAGATCGCCTTTGTCACTCCTTGCAACTGCAGAACGCATGTTGCAGCGCGCGGCTTTGAATACCCTTGAGATTGGAACACTCATCCTGAGTCTTGAGCCCCTCACACCAATGCAAGTGAATCACTAAGGTAGCACAATAATCTGGTCATCTGCTCCCCATCCGTACACCCAGCAAACCCAGCCTATGCTGAGCTTCATCCGTGAGGACAAGCGTGCCTCGGCCAGGGCCAGAGATTCCAAGACGCTTCATTTGGGGAATTGTCGACCCCCCTCAAACAAAAAGACCAACAGGAGTCCCAAAGGAGTCCCCAGTGGTTCTTGGTCCGTCCGCGCACCATGGTGGGTTGCGCGGATTGCCGCACGTGTCCTTGGGCGGCTCAAGCCGCCCTTCCGAGGGGCTGGCCCAATCTGAGAAGGACAAAGGGTGGATACACAGTCCGACATTCTGCGTTCCGACCTGCCACGGGGGGCTGCTCTTCCACGGACATGGGGCTGGGGTGCTGGCCATGGGGAAAAGGGAGACAGCGACTCGCTGCTTGGTAGTCCTGGTGGTGATTTGGTCGAGGCGGCGCACAATTTAATTTTGAATCAACCTTCGGCGTTAGGCCCCACATCCATTGAGGGTACATTCCTCTAACTCTACCTTCATCGAAGGCGTCTCTGTGTGCCTTGGGACAAGGCCCAACCACCTTCTTCCACCTCCCGCGGTGCCTTTCGACATGAGGCTCCACTTGGGCATTGAGCATCTGCTTGGCACAGTAGGCCACAGTAGAAGGCCTGGCAGCTTGCACAAAGGTCCCAAGATAAGACTTGGTCTGCTCTGCCACGTGGATCAGCGTGGATCCTCCTGGATCATAGATTGTGAAATGATCTTCCGGAGAAAAAGAACTAGCATGAAGTTCCAGCAGCCTTTCAGGGTTTCTATCCAGTGGTTCTTTCTGCCCCGCTCCAGCCTGGTCTACGTTTTGGAGCATGCACTGTGGCTGCGCCTGTGTCGTGCAGCGACGCCCGACATGCAAGACGCCGAGTGGGTCTCAGGCCCCGCTGAGAAAGACTATGCTGAGGAATCGGAATCTCTGGTCTACTAGTAGAACAATGATGCATGATTGGTTGGTTGGATGTTGTTTTAGGTCTTGGATCTTTTCATGAAGCTTGAGGCTGGGAAGTAAAAAAGGTGAGGGAAGCCAGGGAGGCTTAGGCTTTCTGCATGCCTGCACGGCTGCGAACTCGGTCGGGCACTCATAGCTGGCGCTGCAGCGGGGCGCACAAACCTAGGAGAAGTGCTGTTGACGAGGGCACCTGACTTTGCAGGTGTCTTCGCGCCAAACCCTTGGGGACAACACGGCCGCCTGCTACGAAATGCTTGGCATGTGAAGTGGATACATCCAATATTTGCCTGTAACGCTGACTGGTGCATGTGTTCCTCCTGGTCCCCTTGCAAACTTAGACCCAAAAACCCAACGTCACAACAGAGCGAGCCATGGTCGGCCGCCCGACCACGCCATCCTCTCCTTGAATCTCCCCTGCCTCGGTGACGGCGCGACGAATCGGTCCATCTCTGCACCCTCTGGCGGTTGCTTAGGAGCTTTTGGTATGGCTGACCAGCATGCGATCTCCGTATCCTAGCCACACGGCCCGAAACGGCCAGCGATGTCTGACACCTGGACCCAAGCCACAAAACAAACCATACATTCCCATGTCATTCCTTTTGATGTCAGACCTCACCTATGGCAAATCCAAAGGCCCCTGCCACCTCAGCCGAACCACAGGTGCCCCCATAGTAGCCCTCGGCCGACCTCAAGAGAAGGTTTCGTACAAAAAAACTGGAGATCTATCATAGTTTGTAATTGTATGGCAACTTCTAAGGAATATAAACCCCGTATAACTTGTGTGGCATCTCGATCTCAAGATCAATTGCCTTCACACGACTTGGGTCTTGTTTGGCCAGTGTCAAAGACCTACTGCGCCTACACAACTCAGAACAAACATCGGCTCCGGGCCAAGCAAATGCCAGGAGCACCACGAGCGAAGCCATGGCCGCTTTGGATGGATTTGTCGGGCAGGACTGCTGGTTCATGGGTCCATCTCGCTGGGGTGCTTTAGGTGAATCATTCGTCGAGATCCGTATGAACAAGTGCGTGAAGTCATGAACCTATCTACTTCGAGATCGCTTGGCTGGATGTGCTCGGTTCATCCATATTTTTCGATGATGATGCTTTCCATTCACAGGGTTCGTGGAAGGATGTTGGTCTTCTGTGACTGTGGATGTGACGTGACGTGATGTTTATGCAATGTGGATTCAGATCATCACCTTCGGTTCAGCATCTTCCAACACTACTATGTCACATTGGTACTTCATGCCAGCAATGGCATTGGTCCCAAAGCCTGCAACCCACAGCATCACTCCCCCAGATGCCATCAAACGTCACTACAGTCAGTCACGAGTCATGAGAGCAACTCTTGATGGATGAGAGTTGCCAACGGACTTCATCTGCATTCTCTTTATCTGTGGTCTTCTTGATCTTTTCATCGCACATCTCTGAAACGAGGCCCATTTTTCGGCTGGCGTTGCTGGCGTGGGTTCTCCCCTACACGCCCAGCACGTGGATCTCATTGACTCGTCGCGCAGGAGCTGCCAAACTGCCAAGCAAGCAGGCTGCGACAATGACTCCCGCCCCCTGGATACAATATGGCTTGCATCCAACTGGGCACATTCAGCAAAAACACTCAAATATGCTCAAATCACCTCAATCCAAAAGGCTGAGACCGGCAAGCTCCCTGCAATGCATCTCTGCACCCCAGGCAGCGCGACACCCCCAGTCGCACCAAAAAAATCACATTGTTTTCCGCAACTCGTCCTATTGAGTGTGCGTGATGCTTTGGGTGTTTTTGTTGCTGATTTGTTTTGGGCCGCAATTGAGGCATCTACATTCGCCCCTGCTTTGGCCTCCAACGTCCAGTTTCATTTAACTGCAGTTTCAACTCGACTACAGCCGCTTCTCACGCTCCCACAGCTGAAGTGGGTGGGCTCTTTCCATCAGGACCTTCAGTGCCAGGGATTCAACTGGATTCCCGAAGCTGTGAGCATGAATGATGATAACTACAGTAGTGGTAATTCAATGTGCTCGACCCCAAAACATTCATGTCAAACTGCTCTCTCTCTCTCTCTTGCCGTTACTTGTCGCTCAAGCCCCCTTACTGCGCCCTTGTCAGATCCTCCTGAGACTGAGACTGTTCAGGACATAAAACCTGAGAAAGTCGCAATGGGCGGAGCGCTTAGTCGCAATGGGACACGCGCCACGGGGAAAGCCATGCTGACTTGGTGACCCGCTGGAAGTCACCACCAGGATGACCATTAGCCACTCTTACTCCTAGGAGCCCGTCGCTGCAGTAGATCATCTGAGTTCTCTTTTTCTCCTCTTGAGACCAGGTGTATCAAATAAGCCCCTAGGGTGTGGGCCCGGATCTTTCATGCCTCGTTCTACAAGATAGCCATTTATCCGCACTCGTCGCTGTGCAACATCTCTCCTCTCTCCCTTAACAAATCCGAGGTGCAGCATGTAAGCCTTTCGGCCCAAATCTTTCTGCGGCTCCTGGACTTCAAGGCTTTCCGTGATGCAAATCGCCCACACTTGAAGATCCAGGCCAATCCCTTTCAAAACTGGGGTGAGTGGAAGATTTTCCGAGGCCTCATGCAGACCACTCACACCAAGGCTTAGGATCTGCTGATTCAGGACAAGTTCCATCCAGAGTTGCCCATATAATTAAAGGAACTCAAACAATCTGGATGATCTCCTCGCCAGGGGCAAAGCGTTTGACCCGGCTGTCATCATAGAGACGCCACTCCCCGCTGGAGGCTTGGGCATAACACACGTAGTGGCCTGACCTGGCACTCAGTTCACCACCAATTGGATGCCTCAAACCGCTCAAACCCCATGAATGGCCAAACACCTACCTGGACACATACCAGAATTATGCCCAGGACCCAGGATTAATTGCTAATTGCATTCGTTCACGAGAACCAGGCCTGGAAAATGACAATTCCAAGCTGGGCCTAATTGCAGGGCCACAGCTAAGCAGCTAGATCCTGCTCTCCAAACAAAGCTTGAGAAAAAAAGAAAAGCCCTGACATTGATCATATTATGGTTCCCTCGTGTTCCCTCCACCAAACAGTCCCAACCCGCTAGGGCATCCAAAAGCCTTTGCAAAACCGGAAGCTTAAGCTAAAAGCTCCGGCACACTTCCTCTACTTGCATTGGGCTCCACTCTCCTGTGCCCAACCAACTACAAATATAAATACAGTACGGTAACAGTATATCAAGTGCCAGACGTCGTTGGAAAGCAGACCGCTCTTGGCAGGCCCGCCTGGGCGAGGCGCCCTCGTGTGCCACGATGGCCCGCAAGCTGTAGCGCAGGGAGCTCGCCACCTCCAGCCGACACACCAAGTTGATTGATTCGTGATTATCAGTCGATTGTTTAGTGCTTCAATTGCTCAGCTCTCTGAAAACCATCCACTGGAAAAGTCCTCCCACGGAAGGTTGTGACCTACCTCGTTCTGAATTCATGTGCGCTTCGTCAATCCACCATTGGGACCTGTTGATGTGGAAAACCCCTCGCCCTCCACGGGCCTTCTGGGGCGAGCCAGGTGCCTCAACAGACCTGAACGGCATCAGCATCGGCATCCGAGGCCAAATCTCCACCTAAATCACCACCCTGCCAACTCGGCATCCACTTTTTCGCTTGGTCAAACAACTGGAAGCTCTCCACCGGGCAGCTCTCTTCTTTGGGAAACTTCCCAAAACCCTTCAGGGCTCCGAACGGCGCAGCCAGAGGCCGTGCAGGCAAGCGAGGAGGAGATGCATCTGGCGAGGGGGCACGGTGAGCTTCGGGGGAACATGGAGGAAAAACATGAAAAACATAGGAGCGAGGACGCTACTAGGGGCTCCTGGCATCGCCACTAGGAGCAAGGACGCTACTAGGGGCTCCCGGCCTTGCCACTAGGAACATGAAAAAACCGTGGGTCCAAAAAGCATGTCGAAAACTCCATGTGGGATGTGCACGCTGGCCTTCGCTACTGCTACTCAGAGTAGCTCCAAGGTCAAGCCTCGGTTCAAGCTCAGGGCTTTGCGAGGTGAGCTCGGCAGAGGCTGACATGTGCACATCGTATTGGGGGAAACACTTGTCCACCAGCGGGAATGGCTTAGTTATTCAGTATCATTTAGTCATACCAGCCTCTGCGTCTGACACTTATTTTCTCTTGTCTTGCAACTCAAAACCTTGTCGTACAACTGATGTTGCACTATTCCTACGTCCTGCGTGCACGGTACTGAGGAACCCAGCATGGTAGGTATCTCCACCGCTTGGTGCTGCTTCTCGTAGCACTGTTTCTCAATGTTGGGCACCTCAAGTCTGGTCTCTTGTGCTGACAATATCATCCGATGACCTTGCTCCAAACATCGCTTCAAAAGGTGTGCAGGGGTAAGGCTGCAAAGCTCCCTTTTGGCATGTAAAGTCTGTGGGGCCTTTGTAAAAAAATCGAGAAACTTGAGGCAACTTGGCTTAGACTCTGACTATCTTAGACCGACTGTATGCAGCATAGGTCCATAGGTATGTATTTGTGGTATGGAGGGCTTGTGCGAATTCAGGTCGACGGTCCATTCCTTTTCTCATTGTTTCTGTTTCACGATGAGTTCCAGTTGCGACTCCATCAAGGAACCAGGCTTTCATTGGCTTTCGAAATCTCCCGAGACGCCTTCCCAGAAGCTGAAGACACCACCATTGTGACTAGTGAGCCAAAGTTTGTTTACACAACCTTCTCATCCAGGTGCCCGCACGAAACGCTTCAAGTGTAAGACCATGACCCGAGGAGCATCTGTCAGGTTGGTGTCCTTTGTGAAGCCATCAGGCGGCCCCAGTCTGACGTCCGTAACAAAGGCACACAAAGACCTTTCTAGATAGTGCCTCTGTGGAGTGGTGGTCTTCTAAAGCTATATATATTCATGAATCCATGAACTTCTCTGGGATCATGCTTCAAGACATTGCTGCCTTCCAGAGTCACTAACGCTCTGTCCAGTCTCAACGGCTGGCAACTGGGCAGCCGCACCAAGTTTGCTTCAACGGCGCTGCAGTGCTCACACTTGGCCTGCAGAAATGGCTCGACCCAAGCAGCTGAACAGCTTGAAAATCCACGAGGGTCAAAGAACCATGCATGATCCACAGCGCCAAACAACAGGTATACCTGTGGTGTGCAAGAACCCTTCCAAAAGGACGTCACTGGCGCTCGCATCATTGGACTTGTATTCGTGTGCGAGCAGAGGAGAAAGCCGCCGACCCATGCCCCCCCGGCGAGGCAACGAACATAGCCATGCGTATGTGCATATGGAAAAAATATGTGTGCCCAGCCCACATCATCTTCCAGGTTTTTACTTAGATTTGGCCTCCTATACTTAGATACGTTGTTGGATCTACTGTGGCGAAAACTGCTGAAGCATTGAACATAACATAACCTCTTGTGCGTCGTTTGGGGCACTTCAGCCACTATGTGTAAATATATACATATATATATATATACACATTTTCGACCATACGAAAGTCTCATCCGCTCAGAGGCTCTGATTTTCTCACATTGGGGACGTGTACGGTGCAGCTGTGCTGCCGGCTCAATTGGTCTGGACGAGTTCTGAAAAATTCACTCCCTACACTTCTGTACAACAAACTTATTGGACCTGACTGATCACTTTTAATTATATCAGACTACCCGAATTTGCCCCCGAATTTGCCCCCTTCCCTTCCCCCAACATATGACCTGCAACGACAACCGTTGCCTTGGCCACACCACTACGGTGTGGTCCCCCCCCCCCGCTCCTACTCCGGACTTCCCGGAGTAAGGGTGAGGAGGGTGGGTGAAAATGACAGGAGTGCGGGGGGGGGGCCCCTTACTTGGAGCCAAAATGGCACGTGGATTAGACCGTACGTCACATGGTTCCTCCCTGCTTCTATTTGTCAAAATACATCATCACTTCGTGACAGATTGCTTTCGACCATACGAAAGTCTCATCCGCTCAGAGGCTCTTATTTTCTCACATTGGGGACGTGTACGGTGCAGCTGTGCTGCCGGTTCAATTGATCTGGAAAAGCTCTGAAAAATTCACTCCTTACACTTCTGTACAACAAACTTATTGTACCTGACTTATCACTTTTAATTATATCAGACTACCCGAATTTGCCCCCATCTCTCGTAGTCCAGGTCAACCTCCACCTTGACGTAGTCGAGCAGTCCCACCTCAGCCTCGATGGTGTTGCTTGGAGATGGTACTCTAGTGTACCAGTTCAAACTGTTGTTGTTAGCATCTTGTATCACGGCCTCGGTCAACATCTTTCTACATGCCTCTGACTTGGTTGCTCCAGCCACCAACGCCTCTTTGACGCCTTCATTGTCAATGAAGAACAACACTCTTGCACCTCTGAGGAGTTGGGGGAAATGCCTCTTGATGATCACAATGGGTAACATCTCAGCCTGGGCGATGACGTGCTCATGACCAAACCCTTGCCACTCAACAACAATCTTTGGGGGAACTTTGAACCCGAAGGCCAGCGGTGAGTCGGTCCGTGGGGACAGAACTACAGCTCCACAAGAGGCTGTGCCACTCTCGAACGCGCCGTCCGTGAAGATCAGGCACGGGATCTCATTGTTCACTGCCTCCAATCGTCGTGGAGGCGCCGTCCTCAACAGGTTGGCGGACAGTTGGAGCGCCTTCCGAATCTCACTGGTAACCCCTCTAACACTTCTACTCATCAAGGCCCTCTGCTTCACTCGGCCCATGAGGGGGGTGCCATCCACCTTCCACTGCACTGAGCCTCTGCAAAGTTCAGTCTGCCGTACACCTTAGCCGCCGTGGCCGGGGGGAAAGACTGTATGGATCCATCTCTTCTATGGTGGCCTCCAACTCCTGAACCCTGTCCTCTTTGTTACGGACTATCACCACCCCATCACTGGACTGACTCAAGTCAACCACCACTCCCAGGACCACAAACTTCCTGGCCGGTGGGATCCGCTTCTTGGCCTCCTCTGCAATGCCCCACCCCAAGACGCGCATAGCCTCCTCCATGACCACCTGAGACTTCACGACCATCACCTCTAGATCCACACGCGGGAAATCGTCGAAGTAGTTGATCACTGGGATCAGCAGGAACCGTTGCAACACCTCTCGCAGCGCCCTTGCTGCCCGGTTGAAAGCCATCACGGACCCCGTCGCTCCAAAGGGGAGCACATAAGAAAACAAAGTACCTCACTTCATCGCTTTGGGGATCTGACACTGCTATGACTGCACAGTTTCTGTCTGCTGGGGACAACGCCAGCTGCTTGTACGCAGCCTTGAGGTCAAGGCACCTACCGCTGAGTTGCAGCTCTTTGCCCTTGAATTCCTCTCCCTTCTCCCCCTCCAGCACTAGCCCTGTGGACAGCTCGACTTGAACTCGGTCAGACGACACCCCGAATGTCCTCATCCATGCAGCTGCCAACGAGACTACCTCGTCGACCCCACCGAGATCTAACTTTTCATACCTGGACCGTAGCACTGATTGACCGCGAACTCGCTGAGGTCGTCTATGTTCCTCGCTTTCGCCCCCTGAACTATACCAAACCTTCTACTTGGTGTCCACAGTGGTCCAACCTCTTTGGTCACCTGGTCCGCCGTGAAGGGTCCTGACAACCAGCCCCTCTCTGGTTGCCTCCCACACTTCATGTGCAACACTGACATGGTTCCCAGCCACACTCACCTGCCTCCCTTGCATGTGTCTCGGGGCCCCACTGGACACTTCTTGCTGGGCCGACTTTGCTCCTCGCCATAGGTCTTCCCTGTCAAGCGTGGGTGGTTTGCACTCAGGCGCAAAACAACCAGTGACTCTGCCTTCACCTGTGATTCGCACGCCGTTGCACATGTCCTCCACCAGGTGAACGTCCCCATAGCCAACTATCCGGGTGAGCTCAGCTAGCAATAGCAACTTCTTGGGTGCCAAAACTTCTGCTACTTTGGCCTCCATGTTAGCATGCAACTCCTGTTCCTGTGTTTCTAGCTCCTCAACCCTCTGTTTCATCCACTTCAACCTACGAACCCTCTCTTTGTGCATCTCTTCAGTGCCCTTGGTCAACACTTGGAACATACTGTCGACAACGTGGTCAGGCGTCTGAAAAGCTGTATCGAACGGGTGTTGCAACTGCTGGGCTCTCCGAACTGCCTCCATCGGGGTCATGGGAATGCCAAAAACTACCGACCTGCTTGCTCCGTCCCCGTGGACTTCCCCCTCATTGGACGGTAAATGATGAAGAATTCTGGTGCCTTCTGGGAAAACTCGGTCTGCAAGGGCGACCGTGGACTTGGATCGGCCACTCCAAGCCATTACTTTGGCTATGTCATGGGGTTTATCCACAATGAGGTCAACCACTTGTCCATCCTCCGGCAACATCGGTGGGGCACGTCGCCCCCTGGGCTGTTTGCCGGCTGCCACCCTCCAGGTGGTGGACGCCTGGTGAGCAACCGGGGTTGACCGGGGTTCTGGGTGGATTGGTAACTGTTTGTCACTGGCAATCCTACTGATGATGGCTGCAATGCGTTGGCACAACAACAACGGATATTCAGCTTCGCTAGCGGTGTCATACTGCCACTTTCCATTGAGTGTAAAACTATACAAGGTCCAACTCTATTCTTGCACTTCTTATGGTCTACGCCTACGGCTGCAAAACCATGAGCTTTCAAACACTTACTTAACTTGCACGACCCGGCAAACAACTCAAACGTGCGTGGCACAACGCCCGCTGCGTTTTCACTCAGCTTGCCAGGATTGCTCCTGGCTTCTTGAAAAGTTGCTGTACATGGGCGGAGCCCTTCTCAGCTCTCCTGATGGGCTCTGATTCCTGCGCTCGCTCCGGCGCATCATGCGCCTCTGTCGGCACTCTGCCTGCCTCCCCAGGTCACTGGGTACACTGCATGGCGCCATGGCCTTGCTTCCAGCACTTCATGCAGGTATGCAAGCCCTTCGGGCACTTTCCATCCTTGCCGCTCGTGCAGTTGCCCAACTGGTACCCTGCCATAGCAAATGCGTTCCCCGCGCTTCATTGGGGACAACCCCCAAAGCTCCTTCGGCATCTTTATGGGCATCTTCTTCGGCGCACTGAAGTTCTTCTGACATCAGCTTCCATGCCCTGCGATCGGCAGCTGCCACCTGGGCCAGTGTCACTGCCATGTAGCCCATTGGCGCTTCGCGCTCGTACTCTTGGAACATCTTGTCGATCAAGCGCTCGTGGGCAGTGAAGCTCATGACGTCAGCTACCTCCAACGCCAAGCCTCTCCTGGTATATGCTTGTCTGAGGCGTAGGTCCGTGCGGGTGTCCGCCTCTGGCAGCTTGGTCTCATCGTGGGCCCTCAAGTGCCCCGAGGCATCTTTCTTGATCAATTCCTCCGTCTTCAAATTCTGCAACTCCTGATCTCTTGTTGGGATCTCATGCGGGGCCAGGTACTTCAGCTCGCCCTCCACTCGCATCGAATGGAACTTGTCCACGACGTGATGCGCTGGTTCCAGCTGGAGGTGGGCATACATCGTCTTCAACTGGGCCCACCTCGTCTTCCGCTCTACCACGATCGTGTAGGCCTCATGGTGCTTCCTCAACTTTGGTAGATCTGCGTGGTCTCCTGCCCCAGTCAGCGGCCGTGCCACCTGCTGGATGAACGCCTGATCATCTCCTGACCCAGGCGACCAGCTGCTGGTGAACGCAAAGGTGCTCATAGTTGTCCAACCTCTGCGCGCCATCTCATCCTTGTAGGCCTCGAGCCCCATGTCCTTCAGCTTCGCCTCAAAGACCGCTTGCGATTCGGTCAATGTCGCCATGGCTCTGCTCAGATATTCAACACTCACGCTCGGGCCTCACGTCACTTCGGAATTCGCTTCACATTGCACCTCACTTACTTGTCTCATTAGTCCACTTAGGGTTACACATGTCTCCGCCCTTGCACCTTCTTCACATGATCTCACCTGCCTTTCACATCGACTGTCTTGCCGCGCGCTCGCTTGCTCCCGCAGTCCTTGGCACCTGACTTGATTCTGCAGGACCACCCTACTCCACTTGACCTGGCCGGGCTACCCGGTGTCAGGTCAAATGCACTTGGGAACAACTCCCTGCGACATGCACCATGCATCACTTGGCCGGTCTACGATGGTCACTTGTGACACCCTGTCCACCATCCCCCCCGGCCTCACATTCACTCTCTTTTCACTCGCTGATGCTGTGTCCTTCACCTTGTGTAGCCTTCACACACTTTACACTTGCTCCCCCAGGCATGGACTTCGTAGTCCAACTTCACCATGACGGCTGAGATCACCCTGCCGCAAGCTAACTTACCTGGGGTCACACTTCCACTATGCACAGCAGGGACGCACTGGCTGAAGGGCTGGACATCCTGACGAATGTGATCACGGACATCTATGAGGGCAGGTTCAAGCCGGATGCACCTCGGAATCAACGCTGGGTCAAGGCGCCCATGGTGCCCAGCGAGGAGAACCAGGAGGCCGACCTGGATGGTGACGAGGTGTTGATCCCAGAACATAAGTGGGACATGCTCGAGATGAAGTCTCCGGGCAAGCCGACTCACAGGTTGGTTGAGTTGGCTGAAGTGACAAGTGAAAGTAGTGAAGAAGAGTCCGAAGATCGTGAGACTCAAGATGAGAGGAACCTGGAAGCAGTCGTCACAGCCAAACTAGGACCACCGAAGAAAGCCACGGCGGAACTGTACAGACATGGTCTCACTGTAGATCACTACACTCTTGTCCTTGGGCTTGACGTGATACCCAAGTAGCCTCCGCACCTTCTCTGGCGCCATGGCCTTCGCCAACCACGACAATGCCGTTGCCTTCATGGAGTGGGCTCCCACGTCCCCCAACAACTGGGGGTAGATGGCATACTTCTGTAGCAGCTCACACAGCCACATGGAAGCTTCAGGCGTTGACAACCTCGCCTGACTCCACCCGCCTCCAGGCACCGGTGTTGGCAGGAAGGGTCTTCCCGGCAATGCCTCAAGCCCGCCATGCAGCTTGAGCAACTCCTCCGCCCATGGGATGCCTGTGACACCTTGGCATGGTGCCACCACCGGGAGAACTCCCCTCGCTCTGCCAACCAGTGCATCTGTCTTGTGAATGCTTGTGCCACCTTCCAGTTACCCTCCATCGACTTTCGGCTCGGAGTCTATACCTTGGCTGTCACCAAACCTCAACCTGCCGTACACACACAACAGGCAGTGCCCAGCGAATACCCGGTCTTGAAGGGGGAACTCCTGACCAGCCAGCACGATCTCCAACAGCGACACTTGCGACACAGTCAACCCGTCTCTTTGCCTCAACACTCTCTTAGTGAGGTAGCTTCTATGTGCAGAGCCAGTGGTGCGACCGCTCTGCAATATTTCGTCTACCCCCTCCACCTGTATGGTTCCCTTGCAAAAGGCAAGTGCGCTCCTGAAGCTGTCTGCACGTGTGGCCGGGGCACCATCCTTCCGCAGCTGGTCAACATACTGGTACACTTGGGCCTCGACGATGGGGAAGGGTGGAAGTCCTTTGGATCTCGCCCACCTGATGTAAATCATCATGGCGCTCAACCTCACTTGCAGCGTCCCATTCTTCTTCTTCGCAAAGATGTCCTCGAGCACTGCCTCACCAACCTGATCGAGCATGCCCGCCGCTTTGCAAGACTTCCTGGCTTCATCTATCACGATCTTCCACCCTTCCATCACCTTTTCCCTCTCCGTTTCCATGGCTTTGTACCACGGCATCTTCTGGCTACCGTCGAGCTTGAAGCTTGGCACCATCTTCCATGCGTCTTCCACCTTCTTGATCTCGGGCTGCACGTCCTCATCCACCTGAATTGCATGTGGGGCTCTAGTCTTCTCATCCAGAAACTTGGTCTCTAGGACTGATGACTTCCGCTCCAGCACCAGGCCTGCGAAGCCTTTCTCCCAAGGCATCTTTAGCTCTTCTGGGACGTGGAACTTCAGCTTCTGGACTTCAGACCGCCCCATCTCATACTCGTCACACATAACTGGGTCACCTGGCGACACTGCCTCCGCTTTCTTCGTCTCCCAACTTCTTGAGGGCCTCCAATGGACTCAGCTTCACCTGCTCAGGCTCACTGTTGGAGTCGACATCCATGACTTTGGTCGGGGACCCTGATCTGTTGCCCCCACCATCTCTGACATCTTCGGCTCTCATGTCCTGGAGCTCCTTGAGTCTGGCTGTCATCTCTCTGATGTCCCCTACCGGCTCAAACTCCTGGGTGAAGTCCAGTTGGGGCCCTCCTCGTCGGTTTCCACCAAGATAGGCCCCCCCGCACCACTTCCCCCCTCCAAGGGGGCCATAAGGGCCCCTTACTTGGAGCCAAAATGGCACGTGGATTCGACCGTACGTCACATGGTTCCTCCCTGTTTCTATTTGTCAAAATACATCATCACTTCGTGACAGATTGCATATATATATATATACACACATATATACATATATATGTGTGTGTGATTATGTATGTGCATACATATATATATATATATACATGTTCTGTGTCCATTCACATTGCATGACACTGAGTATCGTTCACCGCTTGTGTACGTCGTGCAGGGGGAGATGGTGTGCTAGGGGCCATGTCCAGCAAAGTTACCTGATTGCAAGGGAAATGGGAGCTTGCATTACTACTGTGTTTCTCTCTGTTTGGAAGCACGTTAATGGATCAAAGAATCAATGGACTTGAGTTCTTCTTTGAGGGGGGGCAATTACACCCGCTCAAAAAGAACCCGCCGCTTCGGGTGAACGACCTTCTTCGACCGGAGGTCCGCCTCCAAGGTCTCCGGCTGGAAGTATCTCTGCAGCATGGCCTGCAGCCGCTCCGGGGCAATGGCCTCACCACCTCAGCGAGGAAGCTGCGGCTTCAGGGCCAACTCCGAGAAGAAAGGCATGGCCAAAGCTGGTGAGATCACAGAGATGACTGGAATCTGGAATGCTCCAAATCACCATCAAGACGGAAACATTGGCCGGGGCTCCTCCGCAACAAAGTAATCCCACAAAGAAGGGAGATGCTTCTGGGCCAATCAATTTACCGAAGCACTTGAGGCAACGGAATCGATCCCTGAGCGCTGAGCTGAAATCCAGGGAGAAATCTCGAAATCGCTCTGTGACCTGAGCGAGGAAGCATCGATGCCGTCGGAGCACCAACCTCCCACGCCTAAAAAGCCAGACTTATTAATCCAAAAAATATGTTCAAGTGCCGAAAGTCCTACAAACAATGTCTTAAAACCGGACTTCCTGAAAGATACTCCAAGTCCCGAAAGTCCAATCCTCGAGATCCGCGCGGTTCGCGCCTGGCCACACCTCGAATCAAGCCAAAAGGCGGAAGGACTTGGCTCGAGGGTGTTCTGGGCCCACTTGGCTTGTCCATGTAGCCACGTGGAGTGCTTGTTGAGTTTCACGAATTGGCCATCCAGAAATGGCAGGGAAACCAAGAAATGTCCCATTGCGTGCCGGTGGCCGTGTTGCGTGGCCCAAGGTCAAGGCTGGACGCAGCTCAATTGTCGCTGCACCTCCGCGTCAAAGTGGGTTTGGGTCGCCTCACAGTGATTGCAAATGTGCCAAAGCATGCTCTCGCGGTGAGTTGTGAGCAGGAAAAAGGCGAAACAAGATGAAAAAAGGAATCACATGTGGCTAGGAGGGCGCCACACATTTCATGTTTTCTCAGCTCAGCAGCTCAGAGGTTTCAGTCGCAACTTGATGCTGCCCTTGGGCCCACACCAGCGCAGGCTCCTCGATGGCAGCATGGCTGTTCTTCGCCACCCAACCCTGGGCCCGGTCTCAGCAAGTAGCTACGCAGACACAGTCCAACCGGTGGCAATTTAGATATATCGGCAACTGGACTATGAGCACCTCTCAAAGCCTGAGTGTGCACAGGTGATGGTGCTTTTACGTCGGCCAACAGGACAACTTCATGGTCCAAGAGTGAAGTTCCAAGAGGAAATATTGAAAACACCCATGCGTGAGAATGCACGACTCCACATCCCGTAGAACCTGGTGAAGCTTCAACATCTCGTCGTGCAACTGATTCATGTACCTTGCGCCAAGATCACGGGAAGCTCTGAAAACAGCAACCCCCCCCCATGTCATCTGTGGATCATGATGGATCGCACTAACCCCCCCACGACCTGTGAGGCTATCCGGTCCAAGGTGCTCCAGGAAGAACTCATGGGCATCTTGCTGGACATTGCCTTGAAACATCGGCCTCGGGACTCACCATGACTCAACGACCTTGCCTCTCCCCGTCCCCGGTGGAGTCGTGAGTCCAACGCGGTGCTCCCCTTTGTAGCAACGAGTCAGCACGGGCAAGGCTACTCAGGGAATGCAAACAGGGCTAAGAAAAGCAGAGCGGCTGAAAGATCTCCAGCCTGAGCTAAAAGCTTACAAGCCATAAGGCTTTGCCGGCTCAAAACGCTGCTGGAACTGAACCACTGGTGGAGACCATGCCAGCATCAGTAGCCCCCAAGGAACCAGTCTTTTGCCTCCGAGAGGAAGCGAATGGCATCGTTCGCGTACTTGGAATCGGAGATGTCCGGATGGTGCTTCAAGACCATCGCGCGGAAAATCCCGCGGCGCTCGGTGATGGTTTGCCATCTCACGCTACGAAGTTCTTCTTCAATCGAGTGAGTGAGCTCTGCAGCCTCAGGATCGGAAGGATGCTCGAACATCCATGATGGGGCTTCAGATGGCTGCCACAGAAAGAAGGCCTCCTTCAGGAGCAACTGCTTCTGCAAGCTGAGTTTGCCTCGCCGTTGGGCGGTGCGCTGCGCCACCACCCAGTCACCCAGCATAAAGCCCGAGTCGGTGACCCAGCTGGCAGGCACCGTGCTTGAACGCTGTTGGGCCACATAGGTCCGCAGCTCTGACAAGCCCTTTGCAAAGGTCTCAGCCTCTTTGTCTAGCATCACTCCAAGGGCTTTCAATCGTGCCACTTTCCTCTCGTGCAAGATCCCTTGTTCCCACGCTTGACGTTGGTCTTGAAGCCATGATCCCAGTTCATGGCCAAATTGCGTGGCCAAAAAGCGGGCATTGGCACTGCTGTGCCGGTCTTTGTAGGCCAACAATCGGCCTAGCCACATGTCCCAAGGATCTCCAAGAATCTCCACACCCCGAGCGATGGCAACTTCCGCTTCATCGCGGGCATTGCCTGTATTGACCACCCTGCGCAATTCCAGAGGTAGCTGGTTCCACTTCAATCGCCGGTCGATGCGACCATATTCTACGGAGGTTCTCTGCAACGCCTCTTCAGCACGGGCATCCTCGATGGCGAAAGCCATCCATGCAGCAGATGCATGGTGCTTGGCAGCCCCAGCCACAATCAGGAGACCTGCTGTTTTCCCAGGCTGCCAATTGGCGAGGCGCGGAAATTCCTGCGCTAGGGCTACATACCCAGGACGGGTCCCTGCAACCAGCAAAGCATCAAATGAAGCTTCCGAGCTTTCCCCAGAGGTCACTCGACAATCGCCTGTCAACTTCCCCAGAGATTCATCTAGCGCAACCGCCAGCCTAGGCTGTTTTGGCACAATGTGAATCGACCTGATGCCCAGCTTCTCATGCAACTCTGCTAGCTCTTCGGCCACCTCACGCACGGTGACCGACTGGATGATCTGCAAGCGAATAGGGACCGTGAGCTCACGTTTCTCTGCATCCTCATGGTTGAGCCTGAAGACTTCTTGCCCAAACCTGCTTTGTGGCGCTTCCTTCGGATAACCTGGCTCTTGCCCTGGCGCCAAGAGCGCCCCGGGTGCCATACCCACCAGGTGTCTGGCTGAAATAAACACCCGTCGGGCGGCCGGAATCACGTCGTCCCGTGCACCTAAGCTGTGAAAGCCACCAGCTCGCAGGATATGTGCAGTTGCAAAGACCACCAAATCCAACGGCATCTTGATCTTGGATTCAATGAAAGCAAGGCCAAACTTCAAGATCATATCATAAGGACAAAGGAAGATCATGGAGGACTTCTTCTGCAGAGTTCTGGCAATCCGATCTCTTGATACGCCCCTATCATCCAGATCTATCAAAGTGAGGGACTCTCCAAAGCTACTTTCATACATGCCACGTGCCAGCCAGGCAAGCGAGCTTGGCACCGTCACCATGATGCGCAACGGCGACCCAGAGTCAAGGGTGTCGATGAAGCCCCGCACGATTTCAAGGCCAACGTCCAGGTCGCCAGCCCCACTGGGCATCAGAACGGTGGTTGCATTGGCACCGGCTTGAAGCGCTTCCAAAGCAGCTGAGGCCGCAGAGTGGGCGACCTCTTGTCTGGCCAGGGGCTGGTCGATGGCTGGCTCCACTAGCTTCGTGACCACACGTCTGGCCCATGTTTCTTTGACTGGGCTGGGTCTTTTCGTGGGGCCGACCCTGGTCCCGGAGAGAATAAAATTTGGGCACAAGCACACGAACTGGAAAAAGAGCATCAGCCGGACAGATTTCCATCTCAAAACCGCACCCGCACGTGCGGGTGTGAGCCATGGCACGTTGCTAAGGCATGGAGTCTCCATACCGAGAAGCCAATTGCTGGAAGTAAACCCACCACTACTCTAGACTCTACATAGACTTCGTCAGTGGGTGATGTTTTGATCAGTTAAGCTCCAAGTGCAAATCAACCTTTATTATCCTTTTGAGCTTATGATCAAGTTACAATTGCTGCATAATATGTCTGGAGCCCCCTGCACCTGGGCCAATCATGAATCCCGTATTAGGCAAGGAGCAATGGAAACTGCTTTCGTATTCTCACGTGATGATTGTCATGCATACATTTCATACATTACATTACATCACATTACATTGTATTACGTTACATTACACTGCATTGCTTTTTATACATTACATACATACACGGGCACATCCCTTTGTGGGGATGATAAACATAACTAGTAGCATCGGTATGTGACTCCGGTCTTCCGACAGTCTCCTTCTCACAGCTTCAGTTACGAAACCCACCCATCAAAAAGAACCTTGGAAGTGTTCTTCCCAAGACCCCTGGAAGGGATCCGCCCGACCTTCTGAAGAAGTTCCACCGTTTAGAATTCCAGAGGCCAAAAGATCCGCCCAATTAATACTCCATCTTTTTGGGCTCCTTGGCTGAGGCTCCTTCACGGTGTTTCAGCGCTTCATTGTTGATTGAAGGACAAAGGTTGGACTAGAGGAGAAAGCGGGCAGAGCTGGAGTCCGTGTGCCATGGACCATCTTGCAGGTCTTCTCAAGAGACTGAGAATCTCGTTGATACTTGAGCACTGATTGAAACTGGTCAACCTGCGTCTCCTTCCCCATGTCTATTCTACACTATCATCTACCAAACTTACTGTTTGTTGATTCCCAGCAGGCCCCAAACGCACGCTTTGGATGCTAAACAACTCCGCCCTAAATCCGTCCGCACGGGCCCCCCAACGCGGCGAGTGCGATCTGCTCGCGGAGCTTGGCGGGACTGAGCCTGTGCCGTTGTGACTGGCCCGAACTGACTCTTGAGTAGCACATGGCCGTTGTGTGGGGATACCCAGTGGCTTGACGTTCAGTCAGGCACAAATGTCCTAGCGACAGAGCACGTGAGAGAGAGAGAGAGAAAGCCCTGAGAGAAGGAGAAGCAAGAGATGCATCAACACTTTCACACAGTCCATCCTCAACATTCAAAGCCCTACCTTCTCTGAGTATGTGGACTTGATTCTTGTTGTTTTGGCACACGCCACACGCCCCGTGTAGATCGACGCTGGAGCTTGGCGCTGCAAATCCGACCTGCCCAGCAGCACGGATCTAGGAGCCCAGCGGTGCGTACAAAGCCGAATCCTGCATCTTTTGCAGAATCTCCACCTGGATGGCACTGAAGAATCATGGGAGACAATGGCCTCCGTGCGTGCTCACAGTCGAACTGCAAGTGAGGTTGCTTGGGCCAATGCGACCGAATACGTATAATATATATATATACAGTAATATTGAGCTGTCTGTGCTAGCACACTCCACTACGTCACAGAGGGGGCACCGCGCCAAGCACTTCCAAAACCAATGCGACCACAGGCATTCCCGGCCGTGCATCGAAAGAGGGCGCCGTTGCTGACATCTGGCAAGTGCTTTGGCCTGGGTCCATGGTGCGGAGAGTCGGACACTCCAAGTGCACACCAATCGCTGCAGGAAAAACCGACCACCTCCTGAAAGTGTCTCAAAATGAAAACCTGCGTTGAATTGAAACTTTGAGCTGCCCCCATGCTTCCCTTGCCAAACAGGAGAAAACACCTTCAACTTGATTCCGACACATGGTCCACGCATACTTGATTTAGGATCTTGAGGCAGGATCAAGTTTTAAGACTGCATCTGTGGGCACACCTAAAACGCACGACGATGCGATGCTCGACCCTCGACTGAGGCGCTGGCATCGCACGCAGGTCCTCCACGAACTCCCGCAAAGAGCCCAGCGCCTGATCGACATGGTCGTCTGAGCTGGCTCCGAGCCAGGGTGTCAAGGGCGTCAGGCCACCTTCAATTTGCTGCTCTTTCATGGTCAGAATCCCGCACTACCTTACGAGACCCTAGCGCACGTGCCAACAAAAATGGAAGGACGCAAATGTAAACAGAGAGAGAGAGAGAGACCAATGCAACATGGGATTTCATGCTGGCCGCTGATAATGGGTGGTGCTTTTCGCATGTCGCATCAATGGCTGGAAGAAAACTGCTCGGTCATCCAGGCCCCTCAGCAGTCACGCCTGAGTAATGGCATTCAGGTAGCACGTGTTGCCTTGGCCGCTTGCCCGCGCGTGAAGGTGTAGCTGTGGGACAACACTTGTTTGTTGACTGGTGTGCCAATAGAATATCTGGAGGCGTCGACACCTTTGGAGTCATGACTAAGCAACACCAAGTCAACAAAAAGTCCCAGGCCACGTTTGGGGATACAAAGGAGATCATCGGCAATAAACCTGGGCACTATCAAGGGCCGCGCCCAGGTTTTGTAGGCCGAACGAAATGGCGGGGCGATAGCCGCCATAGAGAGAGGAGTCCTCGGAAGGGACTTGAATAGTTATACTGCGTGCCATGAGTGCCGCAAAACCGATGGATTTTAACCTAACAAAAGCTCTGCAGATTTGCATCCAGAATCACCAGCAAGTGGTTAGGCTGTACTGTACTCCTTGGCCCTCTTTGTCAGCTGTCAAACATATGACACATGCAGCCTCGAAACCACCAGCTACATCAGCGGTCCTTACTCAGCAAAGCCATCCTCCACACCCCGCGCCCCAAGAAGGCTCCTGAGGTGTCTTCGATGGTCTGCGTTGCAAGATGCTTGAAGACGGAGCTGGCCTGGGTAGCTAACGCTGGTGCCCTCAAGGAAATCTGTAAACTCACTTTCTGGATTCGGATCGAATGTGGGACACTCCTCACAAGGACCATTATATAATAATAATAATATAATATAATATAATATATATATATGCACTACACGCCAAAGTGACATGATTGAAAAGGAGGCTTTTCTCAACTGCGCCCGCTCCGACGGGAAGCGGAACCCATGCCAAGCATCCGCTGCAATCCCTGAAAAGCCTCTCAAAACCCCGCAGGTCTCTTTCAGAGCTGCCTGATTTGGAGAGACGCTCTCCCTGAGCATCCGGCGCACGGATCGGAATGCGAGCAATCCGCTTCCTGAAGGATCGGACGGCGGAAGGCTGCGTCGAAACGGTGACTGTGAGCCACTCGGGACCCCGACGAGGTCTGTTCCGGTGAGCTGGTCGTCCTCCAAAGCAGAACGGTGGTCGTCCACCAACGGTTTGCCACAATGAATTTCAATGGATAGGGTGCAGCTGCTGATGCAAATAGACACGAGCACTGCTCAAAAAGAGCAAAGAATGTGAGCCGTTCTTCATCTACGATAAGACTTTTTGAGATGGTTTTTCGAGCATGAACGAAAGCCCGCTCATTGCATCCTCCGCCACCCTGCCTTGAGTCAATGGCTCTCCGCTTTGAAGACACTTCCTCCACCTTAGAAGGATCTTCTCCCACAAAACGGAATCTGAACCACCCAGAGGTGGGTTCATCCTCCTCGCACCTTGTGTTGGACACCCAGCAGCTCCGAGCGCCCATGCAGGGACATCTCCCTGAGCGATGTCGCGAGCAGAAGTAGAGAAGGCAGGTGCCACGGTCATGCAGAATTCGACTCACCTCGTCTGAGGTCAACACGTGAAAGCTTCATCAATATGTCGCCTCTTCTGGGTCCCAGTCTTCCTGCAGATGCCATCATGCAGTGCGCACGATTCATCAGAGGAGCAGCAAACAAGGAAAGTGTGTGTGTGTGTGTGCTTCGGAAGGGGAGTCAGTCTTCGGCACGGGCACCACAGCGGCAGGAACAGCTGGCGGAGTTTGCTTCCTGGGCAGAGTGCAGTTGAAGGAGAATATGACAAACAACTGAATAATCGTCCATTGGCTTGCTTTTCCGTAAGTGCGAGCCTCAGGTGGACCTAACAACGGGTCAACCTTTGCACATCAGGACTGCATCCTCACCGCAAAACAGTGTAAAAATACTATCAACTCCTCTTGCTGGGGATCCCCTACGCAACCTTCTTCAGGGCAGTCTGCAAGAACGCCATCGCTTCCTCTCTTGGAGGTCCGAAGCACTTCCCCAAGGTTATGCGTCAGACGCCCAAGCAAATCACATCACACCTTTGCTTAAAGACTTCTGTATACAAATGCACGGATCTGCCATAGAACAGAACAAAGCAATAAAGGACAGGTTGAAAGCCATCAGTTAGTGGCACGACTGGAAAGTGATGACAGTAGTGTGACTGAGCAACAAACAAAACCCCGCAAGGTCTTGGTGGAACTTTGGAAGAAGAAAACGTGTCGGGGGGAGCATTGGGCCGCCCATCGAATCCAATATGTTCTATATACGGTATATATATATATATACTGTAATTAGGTTCATTGAGTAGGAACTTCCTAGACCTCAAAATGGGAAGGATGAAACCACACTGGCCTGGGTGCCTTCAACACTCACTAACATGGAAGTGGAAAAAACTTTGTATAGGAAAGTAGTCGGACCATTTTCCACTTCCATGTTAGTGAGTCAGAGTGTACCTGATCCGTTGATCCGTTCTACTAGGGTGGCATTTCCAGTTCAACGACTCCTCCAGGGACCGGTCCAAAGCTTGGGCCTCTCTGGTCTCGAAAGTAATGCGACCATGGAAGTTGCCATGGGAGATGGTCACTGTACAGTCCTGCGCACACAACATGCACACAAACACGCAAGGCCAATTCTGGGTGTCCTTTGCTTGGGCAAGTGCATGACCTAGTTGGATCAGGTTGGCCTGGGCTTCCACCTGCTCACTGATTTCGTCCTCCAAATGGGGCTCACTGGTCAGCTTGCTCAACACGAAGCTGCCGTCAGCCCTGCAGAGGATGCGGAAGTTCGCACAAGTTATCCAAGCTCTCCACTAGCCCTGCCGTTCATGCTTGGACATGATGGGCGTGCGAATCTATCACAGTAGCTTCAGCTGCGGGATGCCGTCCCGGGATCCAAATATGCACTAAACTCAACATCCATGTATGACCTCGCCTGGGGTGTTTCAATCTTCCCATTGGTTTCAATACCGGGAAGTTGTCGCCCACGACATTCAAGCGCCCAGATTGTGATGTGTCGGGCACCTGCATTGGTTTCGATCGAACCCAACTCAAGCAAGAAATCTACTATATAATATCTACTAATCTACTTGCTCATCCAGCCTCTTGGTCATCCACGTACCATCGCACAGTCACGTGGCTGGTCATTCTCTACAACAAAATTATCAGCTCAAGTTCATCAGGTTTGACTTTCTAGCGGCCTTGATCTCATGTGAATCATGTGAAGGATTCTGTGCAAACCTGCTTCACCCTTGTGACACCCCTTCCTTAGAAAATCATTGAGCCGAAAAATTGAGGTCTAGGCACTCTGCAACTGCATGGCGGCTGGCGATCAAATACCCTTGACAACCCCCTCTCTGGAGCTGACCTGACCAGCAATTTGGGCCACTTGCTTCACACAAAATGAACTGAATCGGTCATCCTGGTTAGGCCACTTTGTTTGAGCTGGCCGGAGGCGCCACCCCAGCTGGCATCCTGTTTTTGAATGTTCTTGAACTCTCGCAATGCAAGGCAAAGTTTCGGCTGAAGAGAACCCTCTCAAGGTCTTGTCTAGCCTTGCACTTTGGAAGACTATATAAAGTCGGAGAAAAAATACTTTCCAGTTTCAAGGCTTCAGCACGCCAGTTGAACACTCTTTATTCCACAAATCATCCTTGCAAAGCTGCGGCGTGCACCTTCTCAGCCAATTTTTGCACGCGCTGCCCTTCTTCCGCCGATTCGGTACACCAGCTCCAAAAAATCAATTCTTCTACTTCCATCTCTCTGCACTCCCACGTCTGATGAAGTGACCTCCACACGTTTTGCTGACCTGCTGCCACATGCTCAACCGCAACATCACCGACACCGTCCCCTTTTCTTTAGGCTCAACCTGAGCTTACCTTTGCTTCGCATGGGTGTGGAGGAGTCGAATTTGAAGTCTTTCCACGCCAAATACATGGCCAGCTCCAAGTACGCTGTTCATCGTCGACTGTTCTGACCGGAAAGAATCCAGATTTGGCATGTGGTGGGCTCAGGTTGTCAACATAAAGCTTAACACTGCGGCCAAACTGTGTAGCCATTCAGCTTCGTCCAAAGAAATCAGGAGGTCAGGTACACATCACATTCTTACCTTATGTCAATGGCTCTCCTCAAAGCAATGCCCAAATGTGCTCCTTGAAGAAGTTCAATGAACTCGAAGTCCGCCCCACCAGCGCACTTTAATGCACAAAAACTCAGGACGCTCGAGGTCCGAGCAATGCGTGCCGCTCGTCTTGCACATCCCGTCCTCCCAGAACTGCGAGGCGGTTGAAACCGGTGCCACTGAATGAGACCCAATTCCTCCAGCCCCATAGGCACTCCATTGGCAAGTGTCCCTTGGTTTTGTGTATGCCACTCCATCGCCACACTTGCAGCGGCATTGGACGGCCATGTTCTTCTTCTATCTATCCTAGTGGGTCAGGAGTCCAGCACGAACGGTGCACATAGCAAGGTCGGGGCCATTGAGTTCCGCTGGCCTCCTGTGCCTGAAACAGGGCAATGGCGGCTGGCTTGGAGCATCACGATCATCAATCTTTACTGGTGCCGACGCTTTCAACATTCATCGGCTATCGTGTACAAAACCAGGTATAGTATAGTTAAGTGAACAATGTGGTTCCCATCTGCCACCTCGGACCTACGGACCTACAACTATATTAAGAAAATTATCCCGGCAAGAGACCCCAAACAGTCTGTGTGAGGTCTATAAGCAGAAAGCGTAGAGATCTAGACGCATTGGGTCCAGAGAGGTGATGGTGGTGATGAAAGTGAGTGTGAGTGTGAGAGTGAGAGTGAGAGTGAAAGTGCGTGAGAGTGAGAGTGCAAGTGTGGGTGGGTGAGAGTGAGTGAGAGTGAGTGCAAGGTGTGAGTGTGAGTGTGAGGGAGTGTGAGTGTGAGTGAGGGTGGGGGAGTGAGTGAATGTGAGTGTGAATGCGAGTGTGAGTGAGAGTGAGAGTGAGTTTGAGTGAGAGTGAGAGTGACTTTGAGTGAGAGTGGGTGTGGGTCAGGGTGAGTGTGAGTGAGAGTGAGTGTGAGTGAGAGTGAGTGTGAAAGTGAGTGTGGAATTGAGAGTGAGTGTGGATGAGAGTGGGTGTGAGTGAGTGTGAGTGCGAGTGTGAGTGAGTGTGAGTGTCAGTGTGAGTGCGAATGTAAATGTGGGTGAGTGCGAGTGTGAATGTGAGTGTGAGGGAAGAGTGAGTGTGAGTGTGAGCGTGTGTGAGTGAGCGTCTGAGAGCACCAAGTGCTGCGTCTGCGCTGAAATCTGCACTTCAAGGAGGGCACACATCTGAGAACACAGCCACCAGAGCACAGAGAATGAGCGGATGAATGAATGGATGAATGAAGGAAGGAAGGAAGGAAGGAAGGAACAAACGAACGAACGAACGAACGAACGAAGGAAAGAAGGAAGGAACGAACGAACGAACGAACGCAGGAATGAATCAATGAACGACAGAAAGAAAGAATGAGTGAGTGAGTGAGTTGCCCACAGTGACCAGAGGGCACGTGGGTGGAACCACGCCAGGATGCTGCGCCGGTCACGAACGCTGCACGTCGAGGCTCACAAAGCGCTGTACCTGCCACGAGCCCTGCACCTCATTCACAAAGTGCTGTACCTGCAACGAGCTCTGCACTTCAAGGTTCACAAAGTGCTGTATGTCACCAACTCTACGCTTCGAGGTTCACAAAGTGCTGTGCCTGCCACGAACTCTGCAC